GAATATGAAACCTGCTGAGGTGATAGAGCATCAAATATAGATATATTGATCGACCTTTATTTTTCGTCGTTCGTACTTCTGGTCGCAAACGGAGGTGAATTCAAAAATGTTAAATTTGTAACTTTTTTGTTTTTCAATATTTTTCTCTGGAATTTACAGAGTTAATAGAGAGTCTTCTAAGAGTTCTAAGTATGTTTTCATCATTTTGATTGATGCATTTATTGCAAAGATATGACTGATCCAAACTTTCTCGTATTGTTGCGGGTTTGAATCCTGCTGGGGCGGGAGATTGTTTCTCTTTTTTTTCAGTTGTAAATGATATTTTTCTCTGTGAAGACATGTATGATTGTTTTTGCTTATTTTTTAAGCTTTTTTTAACAGAGATTCTACAGAAATCCTTTAATAATCATGATCTATGTTAAAAGACTGTGTTACATAAATGCAAACAAAAAATACCTTCAATAAAGATTAGTATTAAATGAAGTGAGGTAGCATAGCGATCTGGAGAAAAGTTCGGTCGGAAGACCACTTGTTGCCCTAGCAACAAGAAACACATCTAGTTATTCTTATTTTTCCAGGAAACTAGAAATATGTCCATAGGACATGAATGCCCTTCCCAAGGTACATTTGTATTGAAAAATGAAATCAAAAATATACCTTGTTTCTGAGAAAATAGTAAAATATGATGAAGGGAGGAATAATTTTATTTTCTTTTTTCATATACAGAACTGATACCTTCAGTACCACTGTTACTTAATGTTGATTCATCCCATCTTTCATCCAAGAGCTACTTGAAGTCTCACGGTTTCAAGTTCATTCTCTCATATATTTAGCAAAGGAGTTCTCTACTTAACTATAGTAGTGTGGTCCCTTTTTACACTCTTGGTTTACCGGTTAAATAATTTTGTTTGTTTACATTGTGTATAACAAAGTATTTCTAATCAAAGCATTGTGTATTTATAATAAATAATTTAACAAATAAAAAAATACAAATCAATTTTAACATCTATCACACTTAAAAATTCCAGATCCAAAGATTTTCCCCCAAACAGACTGTGGTTTCTGTATTACTTGGAAAATCAAATGGGCAGAGACATTTAAATTAAATACTATAAAAAGAAGATACTAGACAGTTACACATTTTAGACACAAAATAAGTAATTCTGCAATCAAAATACAAAAACATTGTTAAAAATTTTGTATCATTTTTGTTGTGTACTTTTACACAATCTAATTAAAATAGATCCTTTATGCTCCTGTATTTTTTTTATGTCACTGTAAGGGATCCTTACAGGATCTAATTTTAATTAGATTGATTTTACATGAATCATATGTGATTTATTTATTAATTTTTTTTTAGGGAGGGGGTATTGCACTGTTATTGTAGGTATTTTCGTACAAATTGATATTCCTTTTGTATTTTGGCAGGGTGATATAATTAACATTTATGAAATCAACTGTTAATTGAAGAAACCCTTTGTGGAATAAAATAAGATGAAGCAAGTTTTAAGCGCAAAAATGAGGAAAAGTGAAATTCAAGGTCATGGAAAACATTAAAGTCAGGAAAATAAGATGCAGTTTAATTGCTCTCACCAATTTGTATCAATTCCTTTTTTTTTAAACCAAGGTACTAGTAACTGCAAAAACAAGAGGCTCATGGGCCACAACGCTCACTTAGTAAGTACAGCCCTTGTTCTTCATCAGCAGATTCTTCTTCCTACATATTCCTATGTAAAACTTTGATCAGCCATTGTAGCCCCACCCTACCCCTGGGGGTCATAATTTGAACAAATTTGAATCGACACTATAAGAGGATGCTACCATATATAAATATGATTAATCAAGGCTTTTCTTCTCTTAAAAAGATTTTTAAAGACTTTTTAGTATGTATTCCGGAGGATGCTCCCTTATATAAATATGACTGATCATGGTTTTGCTGTTCTTAAGAAGAAGATTTTAAAAGATTTTTCCTATATATACCCATGTAAAACTTAAATAGACCATAGTGGCCCCATCTTATCCCCAGGGGTCATGATTTGAATGAACTTGAATTTACACTACCTGAGTTGCTTCCATATAAATATGACTGATCATGACTTGCTGTTCTGTGGGAAAGATATTTCCCATGTATTTCTTTGTAGAACTTTGATTGCCCATTGTGGCCCCACCCTACCCCTGGGGTCATGATTTGAAACTTAAATGTACACTACCTGAGGATTCTTACATATAAATATGACTGATCATTGCTTTGCTGTTCTTCAGAAGTTTTTAAAGATTTTTACCCATATAAAACTTTGTTCACCTATAGATAACCCACCCTATCCCGAGAGTCATGATTTGAACAAATTTGAATCTACACTATGTCTGGAACTATGTAGTTTAGTGTTCAGATATGGAAACTGCGAAATCCACAGGAACAATGTTCAGGCCAAAAGTGGGGTATTGTAGGAGTTGATTATCAAAATCTCAATCCTTCCATCCTTACAAAACTGCTACCATTTGAACACTTTGGTCCTAGATGTGTTTATCACCAGCAGCATCTAAAAACATTTTAGCCCCTTGGGCATTTTCCTGCCTGCACAAAATTTTTAAGAGCCCTCTATACACTGCACACTAAAGAGTTCCGATTTTGTGGTATTTTTATGCAGATAGAGTGATCTGCCTTTTGATCAAGAATAAAGTAAATTGGAATGTACAGTTTATTACTTAATTTGTGATCAAATCAAGCATTCATAACACTTTAATAGGCCAACAGGAAAAGATAAAACACTTCATTTGCAGGTATTTTATCCAATGAAGTAAACAACAGTAATTTCTGTTCATCAGTACCGGTACATGTACTTCATTGTCTTTGAACTTTTTTCCTGGGGGTAAATTCAAGGCACCCTATGTTAAAAATGTGATAGATAAGCCCAATATTTGCACCTTTACACACCATAATTTTCTCAATGTCCAAAAAATATTTTCTTCTAGTGTATAGAGGGTCCTTAAATAGCTCAGTGCTCCAATATGTTCTATGACATTGACATCCTAGACTTTGTTTTACTCACTGATCATCTTAATTGGTGTTAAAACAGTAATAACTTCTCCAATTTAATTCAACATTTCACCAAATGATGTCTAAAAAGTATTGTAGGGACAGGTGAAATTTCATATTAATTCTTTATCATTGTTCATATGGTACAACAGTGCAGTTTATATCAAGTATTGCTCAGTTATATTGACTATCAACTAAATATTTTTTTACTTGTTGAAAATGTGCTATTTAATAATAATTCTAAATTCAAGTTAATAAGTTGAGAGAATTTTTTTCTTCAGATGGTTTATTTATGTCCCTCATCTGATACTGTAAATGTACTTTATTTGGCTGACCGATATTTGGCGTAAATTAGTTTTTCAACAAGATTTAGGGCTTTCTGAATGTGCTTTATATGAACATATATACAGAAGACATTTAGTGATGTACCTGATTTAGCAGAAGCTGCTTTTTCATGAAAGGCACTACTGTAAATAGAATACACTGCAAAATGTAATATTTTTACAGTATTTCAGATCAAATTATTTTTATTTAACGAGAATGATTACATACTCATGCATGTAATTAGGGAGATAAGTATGCATACTTTGATATTTCTTTTGATGTCTTACATGAATTATTTTCATGATTGGATTTGTTGTTTGCCAAAAATCGTGTAGTTAAGATAAAATACAAGTCTTTTTTTATGTTTTGATAAAAAGTAGGCTTTAACTTTTTACCAGTCAATAATTTAGCTGGTACATGTATTGGATATGTTTTGATGGCCTTCAGTAATAGATCAATCTATTAATGCCTAGAAAAGAAATGACAAGTCATAATATTTGAAAAAATGTATTTAAATAAAATATGCAGTAAAAAAATAATTTTAATTCAGATTACAAACTTCAATCAAGTCATTCAGGAGAAGAATTGCATGTTTTGTTGTAATTTGCTTAAATTTTAAGATGAACTGACATTGAAGAGAAAAAATATTTAATTACTTTACTCGACTATCACTCGACTTAAGTCCCTGATTATTCAACTGGGCTATGCAAGTAAAACTGACATCCCTAATAATTTCACAAAAATGTCTTTGTAATGAAAAATTTCAAAAACATGACTTGCTCTATAAGGCATATTTAAGCTTAATGATATAGCTGCATATTTTTCAAGGGTCATCAGAAAAGATGAAATCTTTGTACAGTCTGTGAAAAAGGTGAAGAATTTATTAACAATCCAATTCTGGTAAAGAGGGCACAAAGCATGGACCACTGGAAATTCCAGAGTTGGGATCAGGTGCCTAGGAGGAGTAAGCATCCTCTGTTGACCGGTCACACCCACAGTGAGTCATATGTATTGATCAGGTATACGAAACATTCTGTAGTCAAATTCAGTATAAAAACAAAAGCCTAACAATTGGTATGAAACAAGTCAGATAAAATATGACCCACTGATAGGTTATATTTTCTAACAAGGTCATTATAACAACCATAAAATTTACAAAATGCTGACTGTAAACAAGGTTGTTGAAATCCCTGTAACATCAACTTATCTGTCAGTAGCATGTCTTGTTTGTAAAAAGTGATTGTTCTTAAAGCATTCAAATTCAAATTTCTGTCTTTAATGTGACTTGGCATACATTTGTTCTGGAGAAGTTAAAAATATGAAAATGGGTTACAAGATAGACGAAAGAAATGCATGTTTGTATTTACGACAAAAGAAATGCATGTTTGTATTTAATTGAATATACAAAAGCAATGACAAACAATAAACATATGGCCATCATAGCACATTTAAATTTATCTCTTAGTAAAGCTAAAACCTGTTGAACAGTGAGTAAGAAAAAAACTGAAATGTTCTTGACACACATTGTGTATTGATGCATCCTTCACTATCAGCAGAAACCCAAACAGTCATTAGAAGACTGCTGATAACAGAATATACCTGTCAATTTTATCACAGGTGTAGAAAATTTATCACTTACCAGTTATTATATGTTAGGATGAAGATTGCTGATTGGGTTTTTGTGCTTTGTTCACATTGCACAACCATTTTATAATCCTAGCATTTGTTTCTACTATAGAGGTTTGTTTGCTATTGCATTCAGCAATTTTCTTGTCAGTTTCCGACATTTCACCATCCTGTGAAGCATCACTGCAGGAGCTTCTATCAATTGGAGCAGATGCAATAGAACTCAGAGTTTCAAACATGTCATTATTTTGAGTTCGATGATGAAGTCTAAGCATTGGATCCAAAACTAGACGGTCAATGCCCATTTCATCAAAAAATCTTTCCAGTTCTGTACTTGTTCTGGAAAGCCTTGAACTTAGGTCAGACAAATCTGAACTTGTTCTTGAATGTCGACCACTAAGGTCAGATTGAGATCTGTGGAGTGTTTTCTTTCTTCGGACAACACCCAATTCATTTTCAGATACTTTTGTAGTGGGAATAGCACATCGTTTCTCTACCAGCACTGTCACTGATGTGCTAAGAGACTGGTGTGAAGTAGGAACTAAGAAATCCTTGGATTTCACTGGAGGTTTAGGTCTGTCTGGAATTTTTGGCTTTTCTGGAAGTTTAGGCCTATCTGGAAGCTTTGGCTTTTCTGGAAGTTTTGGTTTTTCATTTGCAGTAGAATCCACACTTATTCCTTTATCCATGTACTTAGTCTCCAAACTAATTGACAAAGACACAGAAATCTTTGATTTGTTGTTTTCACTTATCACAGGTGACACAGGAACTTCATCTCTACCTCCACTTCTAACACCATCAGTACTACTGGGTCCAAGTCTTTTACTATCCCCGCTCACTGGTCGAAGTCTTTTTGATGAACTAGAGTGCACCGAGCTATTTGAATTTTTCTTTTGAACACATATATTATTGGTCCTCTCAGTGGATTTATGTGATGCAATATTAACACCTCCGTGATCAACAGAATCCACTCCTAATCCATACTCTGACACAGGGCGAGCAGGACGATTGCCAGAGATGCAACTGTTTGACCTGATAACAGCAACAATTATTGATTATGTTTTTTTTTTTTTCATATGTTTGTTTGTTCACAGAAACAATAAACTAAATAATGTGGAAACCAATGTTTTTCAAATGTTGTTTATGCAGTCTGTGAACCAGAGAGTTATTATGAAAATCTCTGGTCAAGAGAATATTGATTTTGTCTGTTAAGAAATTAGAAAATGCTTTATCATGCTTTTGTACATCAATTATTTAATTTTCCCTTTATATTTTTGTGAAGCATTAAGGAAGATTTATATGTTGGAATATTTTTTTTTCTTTTCACCTTGAGCATAAAAGTTTAATATCCTGTAAGCTATAGGCTAACAAATGATTTTTAGCCTTGATTTTATTGATCATCTTCAATAACAAATTACTAATTAACTACTAATTGCCCTATATTTCATTGTACTAAATGCAGTATCATCTCAAATTTCTGTAGTTAAATGGAATTTAAATGTTGAGGGAAAGAAAACAATCTCATTCAGGGTGAGATAACTTAGTAAGCTGATGCATGCAAGAACAGAACAGGAAAAATAAATCCATCTTTGTATCATGAAATCAATTCCCATTTATGCACATAGAAACTTGCTTTTTCTGCTCCTAACATGCACTGCATTTATATAGCTACATCAATAATGTACTTACTGGTTCCCAACATGTAGGACTTCTGGGTGCTTCAGCTCCTGTTTGTGGTTTAAAACCCTGGTGCTTTTCACGTATTCTGACTTTGAAGCCTCTAAAAGTTCCACTGCACTCTTGCGTCTACGAGCTGAAAATGCATGAAGAAATTTGTCAGATGTTTCATGTTATGCTCTCTCCTTGAAAACTGCAGACCGGATTGAAGGACAAGCAGCCTTCGTTTTTTTTTTCTTTAGCTCTGTCAGTTATCTTGTGTCTGGGGATCCTTAATTGAGTAACCTCCCTTGCCATAAATGATTGTTTTAGCAGTTATATGTGTACCTGTTTTATAGCCACAATCTATCACTTCAAAACTGATCTGATCTTAGGAGATACAGGGCCTCATCTGGATATCATATCAGAGTTTCTTCCTGTTTAGTCTTTTGTTGTGTTTAATTGATAAGTCAGTCTGATGCATAGGAGATTGAACTCAAAGTGCACCATCTCAAAGCTAGTTCTCAAGCAAAACTTACATGAAAGAAATTCACAGTATAGGCAAAATGTAAAATTAACATTAAATTTGTGTACATGTACCATATAAGATGAAACATAATTAAGGTTAATCTGTTCACATGAGATGTTAACTCCATGATTTTGATGTTGGTAACCTGCAAATTCTTTGAAGCATTAAAAGTCTCCAATCTAAAATTATTTTCTCCAACGGTATGCTATGTGCATGTTTAGAGGTTAAATAATTTTTTAATTTAAGTGCACACATTTCCATAACTTATTTATTTATAAATCTATTTAAAATCTATGGATTCCCAAATACTGTCTTTCGAATGATTATGTATAGTTATGTGTATTTGTTTTATGTATGATGACATGATACCAAATAAATGATGATAACTTAGATTCTAACCATCCCCCAACCCCACCCCAACACACACACACCCTCAAATCAAAGAGCATATATAAGTATAAAAAAAATTACAATTTTACCAAATACATATAGGTGGAATTTTTAAATATCTGTTTCATTGCAATTGACCCCCCCCCCCCCCCCCCCCCCACAAAAATACCCTTGTGAATACTCACCAAAAATCCCTGAGTTGGCAGTCCCCTTACGAAGGAAGTCTGCTCCCTTGCTGACCAGTCTGTCAGGTGTTTGTGTGATGGAAGTCAACTGAAGACTCATGTCTAAAATTCTCAGAATCTTCTTACTAACTCCATAAGTGAATCAGGCCTTGGTTTTTTTCATTTTTCATTTGCCCATGTTACAGCCTCTTATCTCTAAATACCTAGATAAGAAGGCAAACACCTCTTGAATAATGAATGCAAATTGCATTACTAAAATAATTATCAATATTTGTTGTTTATTAAAGCATGCATTCTTGCAGGTGCTTGCACTTATATAAAATTCCTTTATGACATTTCTCTAAACTTAAAATGCATCCAAGCTGATTGAAATGGAATTTCTACCTAATTTAAAATAAATGCAACAAATTCTTGTCTATGTGCCACATTGACACAAAATCAATTTACACGAGAGGTGAGATATAATTTGATTGTAAATATAGTTGTTTTAATATTACCAGTACATCAAGAAGACAACAAAATCTGATGAAAATGGTCCTTGCTTAAATCTGCATGCTTTGAGAATATGACATATAGTGATAAACATAATGTTTCACAGTTCAGAGTTTTCATCCAAAATATTTGTTAGCTGTTGGACTTTACTTTAATGTCCACTAAACACATAAATGTTACTTCACTTATTATCAAGTTTACAATGAAATTTGCATGTAACCACTTGAATCAACAGAGAAATTTAAAGACCCCACTTTAAAAGAAGAGGAGTAAAACAACTCTAATTCACATATAGGGTGTGTACAACCAGCAGTATGTTACTGTCAAAGGAAATTTACAATTAACTGAATAAGTAATTGATTTTCCTTTTTATAAGTCATTAAATGGCTTTTCAGCAGTCAACTGTGGGGTTACAATTACCCACAACACAAACTATGTAAAAAATAATAGTTGTAATTCATCCTCCAAGTTGTTTCAATGACCCAACAATATATGAACATTTTAAATCCGAAAATGAATGACAATAATTCACAAGACTGTCCTAAGAATTGCTAACAATTCATACATACAATTCAATGTACAAATAAAAAAAACCCACTGTGTTGTACTATGGACTTGCTCTGTAAAAAGCATGGTAAAGCATTCACAATAATAGGAAGAATTATTAACTAATTTAGTGCCAAATCAGATGGAGAAATACAGTATATTATCTACTGTAAGAATATTATATATCACCTGCCTCACTATAGTGTTAAGTGACTCACTGGAATTTTCAGTTTGACTAAGATTGGGTAATCAATAGTCAATATTCTATCTCCCCCTGAGTGCTTAATGCCGGAAATCACCAAATCAATACAGGTAAATTTAACAATGAACTTTATGGCATTTACAGTGTAATTAAAGCTCTGCGTGGCTAACAGTCATATTGACCATAGGACAAGAAGTCTGACCAATGTAAATTCATACATGTATAGACTGATACCGACATCAGATCTTATAGGAAATTCCTAGAACCTTCGTCAAAAAACCACATTTGCACATTGACCCAACAATCCAGACATGACTCGGAATTTTAATGAACACACTCGATGAATAATTAATGCTAAGTTCTTATGAGATTACATGTTATTAAGGCTGAAGTCATTAAATCTTGTATAAGCCTACATGACTTTTACGCATATAAGGGCTACAGCTATTGCTATCATTCATGTAAACCATAGTATTGCATAAATGTTAGATAATCATTGACACCACTCCTTTATGTATTACAGTCAAAAAAATCAATTTGAAATTATAAACTTACCTGAAACAGGTATAAAAGTAATGAATGCAAGATGAAAGCCTTATGGTTCAAAGAGATATCATCATGATTATTATGATACCATATAAAAATATCCACAGGGAAAAACAATTAATTGACTATCATACTTCTATTCCCTGATTATGGTCACTGATTCATGTTAACAAGAGATCAGCTGGCGCAGGTCAACCATCAAATTACTGAAGGTAAAATTGTCTGATTTATATGTTGTCATCCATTAATGCACCCTAACCTTACCTTAAGGGTTTCGCTTTGTGTAAGCTTAATAAAAGTGACCTTTCAATAATTTTAGATCCATTGGTATCTTCAAATTATACTCGGTAGATTTCATAAAGGCAGTTTCATTCATGATTTAAAGTTTTTGTGTGCGTCTCCAATTGGACCTTAACACATCATTGGCAATACATTAGCTACCTACCATGAGAAGACATTATTTGGAGAAGTTGTGCATTTACAAATATTTTAAACACCTTACCTCTTTGTCACATGATTATGAGGAAATGATTTAACAACATGACACAGAACTGAAGTCGTGGACACAGGTAAAAACACAGGAAATGCAGACGTCATTTACCAGGAGATAAAAACTGAAACAGCCTGGGAATTGATATCCCAGGTATATAAATGAATTGCTGTGACCTGTGCCAGACAATGTTTATACCTGATAGGCCTGTTATGGGTAGAAATCAATCAAGCATTAAATACCTCTATTGCTTTCTGATCTTTTTTTCACATACTGACCAACTTTGAACAATTTATTTGGAAATACCTAGTCCTTTTGTATAATGGTAGAACATCATAATATGACAATTACGTGTCTTTGAGATGACTTCATTTTAAATGATCTTTATCATAGTTTACTCCAGTCAGGCATAATGTCTAACTGTATAGTTTAGTCTTCATTTTTAAAGTTTGCCATTTTATCTTCACACAATCAGTTTTATCTGAAGTTTTGGACAATAACAGCTGTCAGTTTTCATTCTTGTTAAGTCACCCTGGGAATTCAGCTACCTTTTTCACTACGCTGCTTAAGTAAACCTTACTTTAACATATTCATTCAAATGCACAGAACTTTATGTTGCATGTTTACATTTATTTACTTGTACACCTCTAGGGCTTTGTCAGATTTTTTTCTGGATTAAAAAACCACAAGATCATTCATAGTACATTCCAATAAGAATCTTTAAATGTGACCTTGAAAACAAAGATGTAGGGCATTTGAAAGTTGCATTCAGACGTGATCTTGAATGACCTTGTAGTGAAAAAAAATGGGAAGAACAGAAAACTTCTCCGATAACAGACAACAAAACAAGTCCTCGAAAATGACATCAGTAAACAACATTTAAAAAATTGCAAAATCTTTGCTTATACATATACTTTTAGTCTTGTCAGACAACTGGTCAGATTAAAATTGCATTATACATGTACTTCAATGGGATTCATTTTTTTTTTTTTTTTTTGCTACCTTCTATGCTTAATAATTTGATTGCAAGTCCCTTCTTCCTAACCTTGAAGGTGATAAATTTATTATATAAAATTGGTGCTGAAGAAAAATCCTGTAGAAATTATTATTCAGTGACCTGGTGCTAGATGACAGTCGGGGTGAGTTGATGGGGTGGGGCTAGGTGACAGAAGGTAGGTGTGCTTATTACAAAAAAAAAATGGTGGAAAATTTATTATCAAAATTCTGGAAAGGAAAGAAAGAAAATGAAAAAAAATACTAAATGCTGAAATTCCTAGTTGAGAAATGAGGGTTCTGAAGACTAAATGTAATTGCAATATTTTTGGATAAAGAAGAACAATTAGTACTGTTTGTCTTTTCTCATGTTAACTGGCATCTATAAACCTTTTCTAGGATCAGAAAATTGACAAAGTGTGTAGAAAACAATCAAAAAATAAAACATTCAATAAAAAAATTCCTGGTCTTATTCTGGCAAATCGTAAGCATTATGAAAGATAGAAAAGTCAATTCAGGAGAAAATCAGACCCTTAAATGCTAAGTCCACAATTACCATGGCTATATCCTTCAGAAGAACCCTGTAAACAAGGAAATTTTCAGACAAACATTGTCACTCCTTTAGTTTCCATGCACACAATCAGTGTTTGAACCAAATAATTCTGTTACTATAAGCACATTCAAAATTTTCACTGGGAGCCAACATGGAAACTGCCTTGGACTAAAACATATAGCCAGGGAGAAAAAGGAACTAATCAATGCTGCATCAAGCTAAACTACCTGTCCTCCGAAAAGTGTGAAAAAAAATAACCTGACATAATTTTTTACGAAAATAACATGAAATTATGATAAATTATACATATAATATTAATATTATTGTATCTTTTGAACCCACTAGCTACCAAATAAAATTTCACTACACAATATTTGTTTCTTTCTCTAAGCAATTTACATGTTACATGCTACAGTAGCCACTTTAAAAATACTTTTATTAAAAAATTGTCAAGTAGATTGAAAATTTAAAGACAACCACTATCTAGGATATAATTTGTTACCAGACACATAGTAATGGGGGACTAGGGGAAGAAAGAATGTTCTTTTGCTCTTAATTTAGTTTGGACATTTCATGGAAAGGCCACTGTCATATGATTTTGGTTCCGAGTAATTTAGAATTCTGGCCAGAAAGGCTAAATACACTGTACTTATATTGATTCCAGGTGATAAATAAAAGTTCCAGCCTGCAAAAGTTAGGTTGGGAAGGTAATTAATATTAGTTACAGGCATCCATTTATCCTTTAAAATGTACTAGATGAAATCCTGAGCAAGCGCAGGGATTTGAATTTATACAAATCCTGAGCAAGCGCAGGGATTTGAATTTATACCACTACCGAAAGGAAAATTCCATTAATATATATAGATAGTTTTCGACTGGCCTGAATTTAGCAAGTTATTTCCCATTGGTCGCCATATTGGAGGTATACAAGCCTGAATTCCTTCATTATTCAACCAATTTAAACTTGTCATACTGGGCAATTGGATAAAGATAGCACCATTTTTCGTACGAATTTAAGTTTACTCAAGCTTCCTTTAATTCATAATTTCAGTATTTAAAAGATTTTTGCTCTTATATTACTGCCATACAAGTATAATATTGGTTGCTCAAAGAGGAAAATTCGCTAGTTGGACCTCCAATATGGTGGCCAACAGGAAACAACTCTTGCTAAATTCAGGTCAGTCGAAAACTATCTATTGTAGTTTCTACATTTGCTGTTTTTCTACTAAGCCAACTGTGAATTTGATTTGAAAACAATTTTTGTGTATACATACTCAAGTGTAGAAATATACACGGTGAAACTGACGTCACAATGAGGCTACAGAGATGTTAATAAAAATATGACGATATAGGGCAGCGAGAAATTCAAACGTTGAGTATATTTTTGGTGCATTTTAACATGTAAAATGTAAATATGTTAAGGAATGTTTTTAAGTTATAGTTTGAATTATTGGTGTGTAAATCACACTAAGAGTGCAACGATAAACCGTTTGATGGTAACCCTAATGTAGATTTTCCGTAAGATCCGTGGAATTCCATAACAAATTCCGTGGAATTCCATGGAAAAAGTGTTCCATGGAATTACAAGGAATTCTCGAGAGTATTGGGACGGAACTTTTTCGGAATGGTATGGAATTTCAAATCTAGCCTGGAAAAGAGCAGAACAATGCCAGAATAGAAATTTGCGGAAATAGCTGGAAATCCATGGAATTCCAGGATATTTGGAAATCTATGGAATTCCATGGATATCCAAGGAATTCCAGGAAAATACAAAAAACTGGAATAATCAAAATGATTTAAGGGCCAAATAATTACAAAAAAAATGACTACATCACAATTTTTCATAAATCAAATCTATATTTTCAAAATAAAAAACCAATTTTGCTTTACAATGTGTTTGGGGACAAATATTGCATACACACTTCTATGTATAATGAAAGCACAAATTTTAAAAAGTATTATCACTGAAAGTATTTTACATCAAAGGTTATTTAAACAATGTTAAAAATCCACAGAAAAATATCATTACTGGATGATCACCTTGGTTTAATTAATGAGAATTATTATAATATACATGCATGTACATGTAGTAAATTACAGTCTGCATGAGAAACAAATGACTTTTGATTAAAGAAAATCCTTTGTACCTAGAGTAATCTCAAACATATGACATTTTTTGATAATAAAACAGAATAGATTTAAAAAAAAAAAAACACATTAATTATGACCTTTTGCTTCATTGAATGACCTTGGGAAAGGTCACTAAAGCCTTAACAGGGTATATTTGCAACATTTGTATACAGTTACAATGATCTTCCAGTCGTCCATATACATTTACCATACAAAGTTAATGACTAGAGTGACAAACATAGGTATTAAGTACACAAATATCTACTACACAACTATATTTGGAAGATCCCATAAAATCAACACATGCTATTTTTTTCCCCGACATGCCCCAAGATCCTAATTATTGAAGGTCCTAAACTTCTGAAGTATTGGCTAGAATCACTTCCTCACTGGTCCTGCTAGAGGGTGGTCAGATAATTGGTGTCACGAATGGATTCACTTTTGGTACGACGGCTTCAAAAGCTCAGCAAGTTTGATGTTGATCATTCCCAAAGACACTTCAAACTTTTCTTGCTCAATTTCTGAAAGAAAAGATTACCATAAAGATGTATGATATCTATCTCATGTATAAATATATGACAAATAATAAACTAAAGCTATATAAGACAATTGGTTCTTTCAACCTGGCAGATCAGTTTAATACTGAAGAATAGGAATTTATTATCTTGTAATTTTTTGTTCAGATTAGGATTGATTTCTTTTTAAACTAATGGAAGCTGTGAAATTAAAAAAAAAATAAAGAGACATGATTGTGTCTAAGTTAATTAACCTTGAATATGAGAGAGAACATTGTAAATTACATAAACTATGTACCCTTAAAAACATTCAGCAAATAAAGTTAAGGTATGAAAAAAAGTACATTAGTAAATATAATTTATATACCATATAAAACATTCAGTTTTGCCTTATTTGTCAATGGCTCGTCTTTTGTCTCTTAAGCTTCTGATTAAAAGCACCTTGAACAGGAGTTTGGATGCCTATGCTGCCTTTGATATATTATCCTCCATATCTGCTTACTCCGTTAACTGACCCTTGAAAAGAGGAAAAGACAAATTCATAGGCATATGTAATTGCTTTAAATGCACATTGGTTAATTTACAATGTAACAAAAATATGGACAAAGCAAATAACATAAAGTGAATATATAGAATACATTTGTTCTAGGCTTCAAACATACAAATACATGTACATACATCTTATTTTTGAAAAATTAAGAAAATATTAAATAAACTGTTATAAATACATGTAACTTCCATGCATCAACAATTCAGTATTGAGTAAGATAATATATTAGTACATGTATACATGTACTTCTTTATTTCTGGAAATTTATATCTGCGACTAAGGTTATATAGGTTTGTGTAAGAATACGATGAATGACATTGACAAGGTGTAGGTAAAAACTTGTGAACACGACAGAGAACTGACATATGAAACAAGTTAAAAGCA